CTTTACTTGCATGTTGCATGTGACTGCTATAACATGATTTTTGTATATCTAGCTCACCCTTGCTTCTGTATTTGTGTTTTGCTTGGGTATGCTTTTCTTTTGCAATGATCATCCACTTGGATGTGAGCAGAGGCGGATGAGGTGCCTCTGGAGCAGGCTTTGGAGGAGGATGATGTTGCTGCTTAGTCTAATTAGGACTCTAAGTGGTTCCTTATCTTTTGAAATACTCTATTATATTTAAGTTTTAAATTATGACTCAATTTGGGATGACTGTAAGCTTAACAACTTTATTTACAGTCTACTCTAACTGTTCTCGTATATTAAAATGTGGACTTACTATATTATATGCTTCTATATAATCTGGAATGTTACATTTATGGTATCAGAGCAGTTCGTCCTTAGGATGACCTGTGAGTTGAGGGCTTGTCTTGTCTTCTCTGTGAAGAATTGAGTCTAAATGGTATGATTTACCATTTCCTCCATGTCTAGATAGTAGAGTGTGTATCTAATTAGAAGTTTTGAGAACAGAAAACGTCTTGATAAGAGTAATGAGGGTGCACACTCATGACTTTTACCAAAGATGATTTTCCTTTCTTAATTATGAAGGTTTGGTTGGGGTAAGAAAGAGTTGGGGTTCCAATGTTGTTTCCTATAGTAATTCCTTTGCCTTTGTGGTGGTGTAATGTGCTCTATAGTAGTAGAGGAATGCAAATTCAAGGAAAACTTAGTTGTATACCTTTCTTAGAATTGGTTTAAGCCTTTGAGACAAATTCTTGCCTCGAAGATAAGGAGTTAGAAGACCAGAATCTTGGTTTCACAAGACGAGTGAAGACATTGGAATTTTGAAGTAATGTTTTTGGGTGAAGAAAAAGTTCTCAAGAACAGAGTCAGAAGATCAGCTATTGTACATTTCACAAGAAGAGTTGAGTTCAAAGGCTAGAATAAGAGGAACATTGGGTAAGCATAGGTGTAGCAAGTTTAAGAAATCAATTTGGTTCAGTACATCAGTAACGTCAGATGATTGTAAGCCTAACAACTTTATTTACAGTCTACGCTAACTGTTCTCGTATATTAAAATGTGGACTTACTATATTATATGCTTCTATATAATTTGGGATGTTACAAGTAAAACTACAAAATTAAAAATAGTTTTAATTTTTTTTCAACACTTAGTATCTTTTAATAACCAAATGCAGTTTGAATTTATTTATTTACTTAGACTTTTCTTAAAAAAAATACGTATGCAAATATTATTTTTATTTTAAGTGCTTAGGTAAATATTATTGTTATTTCGTACTTATATAAATACAATTATTTTTTATAATCTTATTTTAAATATTTCCATAGATATTATTTTCATATAATAAAATTACAAAAATGAAAGATAAAAAAGTAAAAATTATAAAGTAAAAAATGATGAAAAATACGAAATTAAATAATGGTATGAGTACTCATGCCATCACTCTTGATCTAAAAATTAAATAATGATATGAGTACTCGTGCGATCGTCCGCATCAGCCTAGTAATTACTATCCAAAATAATAAGAAAATTGGAAAACGGTATAAGTACTCATGCGATCGTCTGCATCAGCCTAGTACTTAATACCCTCAATCTAAAACTTAAATAATGGTATGAGTACTCGTGCGATCGTCCGCATCGGCCTAGTACTTGATACCTTTAGTCTTAAAAATTAAATAATGTTTGAGTACTCGTGCGATCGTCCGCATCGGCCTAGTACTTGATACCTTTAGTCTTAAAAATTAAATAATGTTTGAGTGCTCGTGCGATTGTCCGCATCAGCCTAGCACTCAATACCCTCAAGTTTCCTAAATAAGAAATTAATGGTATTAGCACTCTTGTGATCGTTCGCATTGTCCTAGTGCTTAATATTGTTCTTTATCTTGTAAAAATAATTAAAAATATTTAAATATCATTCCAAAGGTACAAGTACTCGTGTGACCGTCCGCATTGGCCTAGTACTCATTACCTTCTTTTTCTCGAAAATATTAAAAAACATAAAATCTTCAAAAATAAAAAACATCTGCATTTTCAAACAAAAAAAATCTCTCAGCTAGAACTACGTGATCCTTGATTCTCTATCAAAAGTAGAGATACGTAGGAGCAAGACTTGTCCTTGTCAGGTTCACTTCCCAAAAATCCAAATTATTCCATAATCATTTTCTAGACAAATTTTCTAAACAATTTCTCAGACAAATTTTCCAAACAATTTCCTAAACAAACTTCTCTAACAGATTTTTAAAAGAACTACGTAACCCTGATTTCTCATTTTGAATAAGAATATGTAGGAGCAAGGTCAATCCTTGTTGGCCCAAAAAACTAAAAAATATATTTTGTTTCTTTAGATTGCTGTTTTTCGGGGATTGTTAAACATTTTGTAAACCACATCATTTTCGCGCATCTAATTAAGGGTACTGCCTTCGGGCAGGCACGGTAGGGTGCTAATACCTTCCCTACGCGTAACCGACTCCCGAACCTAGAATCTGGTTTTTACAGACCAAGTCTTTCCTTATGGTTTTTCCGTAGTTTTCCAGAATAAACTATGGTGGCGACTCCAAATCTCTTTTTCAATCCCGTCTTTTTTTGGATTGTCATCCTGTCGCGATTTCGGTTGCGACACTATGTGAACAGATACATGATGTTGTGATTGTGATTATGATACTATGCAGGATTTGTATCTGGAAAATAGGGAATGTTAAATGAGCCTATATGTGAGGTTTTGAACTCCAGATTTTTTGTGAATGATCACTATTACTTTGAAAGCATGAATGACTTTGCCCAGGTTTCTATGATTGAATCAATTACTTGCATGTGTCATATGATCAAGGCCATCTATTGTTATCCCTTTTTAGCCAATGCATGATTTTAGCCTAATAAAGGAGAGCACAATGTGTTCTATCCTTTGAACCTTTAGCTTTAAACAGGATGTGAAAACCCTTTTTGGAAAATGTTTACCTTGAGTTGAGTTGAGAATATTTGTGGTATTGATAAAGGTTCAAGTTTGGGGTTGTTGGGACATTTGAAAAGGGAAAATAAATAAGCATTGAGCTAAGTGTTGAGCAAATGAAAAGCAAAAGAAAAAGGAAAGAAAAAGAAAAGCTCAATGCAAGGGAAAGTTGGGAATAAGTAAGAATGGTTGTGATGAAAGTATGAATGACTTTCTTAACTCAAGGATTTTGTGATCTAGAAAAACCAATTTTCTTCTTAACCCAGCCACATTGTAAGCCATAGAAAAGTCCTTGTGATGATGCTTGCTTGTGAATGTGTTTGATTGTGATTAAATGAACGACAAAGTTGATTCATGTGACATTGTGATAGTAGAGTGAATAAGTGACCTCTATTAACGTGAACAATAATAATAGTTTTCATCACATTATATGTTTAAATATATTTTCCAATAAGAAACATAAAACTCAAACAACATCATACAAATACACACATAACTTATTATCGCACACAACTGTACAACCACTAGTTATCTTAGCATCAGAAAACTAAGTTGTAACTCTCACACATAACTTACCAATACAAGTATCATTTTCCATTAGTCTCCTCGAGAGTTTCTTCGATGAAGTACACAAGTGTCACTTTCCATCACTCTCCTTAAGAGTCCTAGCAAAGTTCACCTCTAGCACAACTACGCGAAGTTATCTTTCACCACCTTTCATTGAGTCACCCCACACAGAAACATATCAACAATCATCCATGTCCATAAAGCTCATAAAATCATTAAAAAAGTATTCTTTTAAACTTCAAAAGATAATAATCAAATAATGAGACCATCTTTGTTTTAAATTTTCTATTTACATACTCATGAAACACTTGGTCTCTTTATTTTGAGATATATATCTCCCTCGTAACATAATTTCTAGGCTCTGACACATATCATACCAATACTAATGAGAATATCAAAAGCATCCCTATGGAATAGGAAAAAAAAAAGGATGTTTCTTTCTAGTTTTGCTTACAACTTCATGTGACATATCCAATTGTATAGGTTGCATCCTAATAGTCTTTACCATTGCATTGAGTCCTTGAAAAGTATTTAGATGTGGTTGTGCACGATTTACATCTTCCTTTTCGTTTTTTAGTATAATTTTATGCATGTATAAAACAAATTAAATAACATTAGTACACATCAATTTAATTAATTATAATAGCTACAAAAAAGGGAAATGAATACATTTTAGCATTTTAGCTAAATTAACCAAATAATATAATTAAAATAAATCATACAATATAATTATACTAAAAAACATGTACATGTCAAACAATATTATTAAAATAAAAATTTCCTAAGGCCATCGATTACTAATTGGGTGGATCATCGTTATACAACTCAGTTTGCAACATTAGTAAAACCAACCTTGTTTGATCTTTCAAGAGCATTATAACTTCCCTATCAGTATTAATAATATTTAAAAAAATCAAAAATATGAAACTCACTATAAATAAATAAATAAATATATATATATATATATATATATATATATACACACCACATTATCATGTTACATGCACATAGAAATATGCACTAATTTTATATAATTTTTCAACCATACAACTATATCAGTAAGTTTCAGTAAATTTTGAAGTAAAAATTATTTGTGATTAAATTCACATAATTAAAAAATGACTTAATCCAAACGTGTGTCGCTAAAGCAACCTGTCTACAGTACTTAAAGAACTAAAAATACACTTAAAATGATAATAAGAAATAAAAATTCAAGTAAAAACATTATTGTTTTTTTAAGTGAAACATTACATATTTTAAATATTAACAACCGCATATGTTGTTTTTTTTTTTTTAAATACTAATACTAATCTAATTATCTAATGAAACAAAAAAGTAAAAAGAAAAGTGGGAACCTGGATGGGCCAAGTGGGCCTCTTTATCGTTAGGACACGACCCAAATGCGAGACACGAAAGAAAGGGTGTATTTGTAATTTTGTTTTTGGTTACAAAAAAGAGTGCATAGTGTTTATCATTTAGTCGTTTCACTTTCACTGTGCCCTCACACTGCCTTGTCCATTTTTTGCCTAGTGGGGATGGAGCCAACTGATCCAGAGGTAAATAATGCTGCTTGAAAGTTTAATTGAAACATTTTTTTGCATAGTTTTTTATTCTATAAGTTGCCTTTGTGGGGTTTTAACTTTTACAGACAAGGTTAATGTTACAAGAATTGCTTATGAACTTGTTCAGCTTGATGATCATGGAAAAGGGTTTCATAAGAATCTTGGCAAGGTTAATTAATTTTATGTATCAGTTTCACTACTTTTAAGGGAGAAACAAAACATGCATGAAAGAAATTAGGGTACATAGTGATAGAGAAATGTTAAAATGTTTTGGCATGGTTCTGATGCTAAAGGTGAGAATCCAGATGAAAAGGTCCCCCAAACTGAGTTTAGGAAATGGGGGGACAACTGTGGCTTCAAATTATGATTACCTGCGGCTGTAATGCTGTCAGCTAATTAATTATTTTAGTGATAAATTTTTGTTATATTATAATCTATGAAAAACCTAAGGTCTTTCTTCTCGTGATTGAAATTGTAAAAGCATTATGAAAGATTTGTAGTTGTGGATTGGTGGCAAATCGACAAGCATTGTAACTTCGTATTTTCCTTCAAAGCCTTATCATTTACTTCTTTAAACATAGTGTGAAAATTTCCTGAACGTGCTCATAAATGTATTACGAGATCAAATGTAAAGAGCTATCTTTTAAAGGGTAGCTTTTTAAAATTTAAAACGATGAAGGTTATTCCTACCTCACGTATACCATCGCTACCTGTGGTAAGCTGCACTTTCTTCATTTTTTATGAAAGTTGAAATAGCTATGGAATTCTAATACTGGGTGCTGGCTTATTCCAACTCCTGCATATGTTTACATCTTGTTAGTTGTTACTAACGAATTAAAATTAAATGTAGGTATCTCATGAATCTCTGGTTACTGATGCCAAATGGGTATGTAAAAGCCCCAATTCAGGCATCTCTGCTACGGCTTCAGGATGGCCTCGCTTTGAGGACATCAAATCATCTTCTCTCGCATATTCTCTATCTGCAGAAGAGCAAGCAACTGTGGCAGTGTTGCAATTGCAGCACAAAGCATTAGAAGCATGTCAGAAGTTCTTTGTTGGCAATGCTGGTTCTGATGGTGACGAAGATGATAGTGATGATGAGGATGAAGACGAGTTGGTGGATAATTACGATCCTAAAGAATGTGAGGAGTATAGGTTCTTTGAAAGAGTGTTTGCCGAAGATGGTGACCTGAGGAGATATTATGAGAACAATCACAGGGAAGGAGATTTCTGTTGTTTGGTTTGTGGAGGTATAGGCAAGAAAGTATGGAAGAGGTTTAAGGATTGTGCTGCTCTAATCCATCACTCCACTGCCATACTAAGGACAACAAGGAAGCGAGCTCATAGGGCCTATGCACAGGTGATCAACAAAGTTGTCGGTTGCAACATTGATCAATTGTCAGCTATTGCGTTGAACGGTTTGGATTCTTCCTTGAAAGATTCACGGAAGCTGTTGGTGAGCAGTCCTAATTAATATATACGTATATTTTATTTTGTCTTTAAATACATTATTAATGGTTACTATGCTGATTTTATTTTTACAGGCTGAACCTAAAGGTCCTGCGTAATGCTTTTGAGTTTAAATAAAGTATATTTTGTTGCATATTTTTGTGATTGCATGCTGCTTTTGCATGGTTTTAACTTTGAAATAGATCATGGATGATATAAAAGAGAATAAAAATGTATCAATTCTGCCTAGGGAGCTCCTAAAATGCCTTTTTTAGAATGCTAGCAAGGTTAATTATCTTTATGTATCAATTCTGCCTTTTTAAAGAAGAGAATAAAAATGCTTGAAATAAATTATGAGTACATAGTAATATGAATAGGTAAAATATTTTGGCATGGTTCTGATGGTGCAAATTCTTTCTGCAGGGTTTTGAGAAGGAAGGTGATAATCTAGATGGAAAGGTCTCAGAACCAAGTTCAGAAAATGGAAGAGAAATAGTTAAGGTGAGACAACGGCAGTCTATCTCAAACTTTGAATGCTCAATAGAAGCATGCACCTTTACGCTGTGTTTTGAAATCCTCCTATATGTATTTTTCTGGGTTTTATTCATAGTTATCATGTTATTTAGGGCAAAATTGCTGCTTCAATACTGTAAGCTAATAATATTGAGAATAAATTTGTGTTTGATAAGATAACTATGTAAAACATTAGGTCTTTCTTCTTTAGGTTGAAATAAATTCATTTATGTTATTAGATAAATAGTTAATACACAGGAGGAGTGCATTGATCCCTGAGGCAAAGATGTACCTTAGTTCTCCTTTAAAAGTCTATGTTTATTTCACCATTCACTATTACAAAAATGGTGTAAATTTTTCTTGACCATGCGCAACCTGTGTCAGGCTACACTTCAATTTCGTGAGAATCAGAAAAGCAAAGGAACACTAGTATTGATTCCTAGCAGATCCCAACTCCCATATATGCTTACTTCTTACTGGTTGTTGCTAATGAAAATTGATTGTAGGAATCACATAAATCTCTGGTTGCTGATGCTGAATGGGTATCTGAAACCGCCAATTCTGGTTTCTCTTCTACGGCTTCAGGATGGCCTTCCTTTAATGACATCAAATCATCTTCCCTCACTTATTCTCTATCAGCAGAAGAGCAAGCTACTATGGCAGTGCTGCAATTGCAGCACAAAGCATTAACATCTTGCCGGAAGTTTTTAGTTGGTGATACCAGTTTTGACAGTGATGAAGATGGCAAAGATGATATTAATTCTGATAGTGAAGATGATGGGGAAGATGATGCGGAAGATGAGGAGCAAGAAGATGAGTTGGTAAATATTTATGATTCTAAGGAATGTAAGGAGTACAAGTTCTTCGAAAAGGTATTTGATGAAGATGATGACTTGAGGAAATACTATGAGAATAATCATAGGGATGGAGATTTTTATTGTTTGGTTTGTGGAGGTATACGGAAGAAAGTATGGAAGAGGTTTAAGGATAGCATTGCACTGATTCAGCACTCCACTTCCATACTTAGAACAAAAAGGAAGCGAGCTCACAGGGCCTATGCACAGATCATCTGCAAAGTTGTTGGTTGGGACATTGATCAATTGCCAGCTATTGTGTTAAAGGATTTGGATTCCTCCATGGCAGGTTCCAAGAAGCTTTTGGTGAGAAATCCTCACTGATATATCTGTATTCTCTATTTTTAGTTATAATATAAAAACACTGTCAATCTTACTAGGCTGTGTTTATTTTTACAGGTTGAACCCAAAAAACCTGCTGTGGGTTGTCTTGATGATTCAAATGTAAGTGCCATTAGTGAAATGTTATCTGTCCTGTGTTATTTGGTTTGATATCATATTTTCCTTAAATGTACATGCTGAATAGGTTAAGTTGTTTTCACAGGCTGAACCTGATACCTGATAATTCGACTGATAATCGTATTGATGATTAGGACTTTGTTAATATGGTTTGTTGGGAGGCCTATGGAACTTCTTGATGATGTGCCTTTGTGACAAGTTTTTAACTTTTGTCTGGGGAATTTCCCCTGCTATTGCGGATAGTTATGTAAATCCTTGAACTGCAAATCTCACTCAATATGATGGCTACCTTGCAAGTAGTTGATTCACACATGGCATATTCTTTTTTGAGTTGTATGCTTTTGTTTTGAATGCAAAAGTCACGCTTAATATGGATAATTGCCATGAATTATGGGATTCTTCTTGTGTCTAAACTTTTAGAATCATGAAAACCAATATGTTTTTGTTTATTGTGAAAACTAGAATTAATTCATGTTGAGAACTTTGATCTAATTTAGTTCTTCAATTTTATAAATATGTGGAATTAGTCGTCTTAATTAAATTTTATTAAGTTTATTTTAAGTTTCAATCACATTTTATGATATTATTTGAGTTGTTTATATTATTTAACATTTTTTTTAATATTAGTAAAAAAATACGTTTGATATCTTAAATAAATTTTTGGTTAAAAAAAATTAAACTATACAGTTTAAAATATATGACTAAATTATTTTAATTTTTTTTAAATACTAATTTTAATTTTTATTGAAAATTAAAGAATTAAAATATATTTAACTTTATATTTTATTGTAATATCCCAAAAATACAGTATCAACTATATAATAGAATAATTACATTTAATAATAATTCAGCTCAGTCTTAAATTAACAAGAGCTCAGTCTTAAATTAAGAAGAGCGTACGGTTATGGTCGACAGATTACAACTAAAACTGTACAGAATAAGTAAATATGACCGAACGGTTTACAAAAGGAACTATCGAACGGTCAAATAAACTAAAAAGGGAAGGTGACCACCTTACACTCAAACTAAACTACTGACCGAACGTCCTATTGTTCGGTCTTCACTCCTACTTCTACCAAATTTTCTTCTTCCAGCGTCTCTTCTAGCAGCTTGTCTCCTTCTGCTCACATCCACACGGATGATCATTACAACGACAAGGACGGACGTACAAAACCAGACAACACAGGAAACACAGGGTAAGCTTATGTAATTTAATTCAAGTATAAACATACATTTCTCATATTCAAACACATAAGATACATTTCAACATATGTTTCAAACAAGGCCTACTACTAGACTGACTGTCCGAACTGTATGAAATCCGTGTAGCTACGGCGTTCGTGCACCTGGGTGATGTAGTAACTGGAATACTCTCATCAGCTGCCACCCGAGGTTAGTCCTATCTGTCCAAAGTACCTCTAAGGACTAGGACCTCCTGCCGTTCCCACACATGACCTACCCTTCTCTACGTGAGGACGAGTACTCACGGAACATCAGGATGAACCACCAGCTTAGCATTACCACATTTATACTTTACCAATTCCAATATTCACTCATGAGTCGTTCCTTCCCGGAACGCTCGTTCATATTTCACAAAATTTCATTCATCTCATATTTTCTTCATCTTTCATTCTTCATCATCTTAGTTCCATCTTTCATTCTCAATCATTTCAATTTCCTCTTTGTTCAAAAATTTATAAAGACACCAGATACCGAACGTTCAATCCTCACTCAGAACGAGGACGAACACTTAGAACGAGACAGAGAGGTCTCCAGTTACAAAATAGAATAAAACCGAGAGGGTTACTATCGGATTAAGAAAGAAACAAAAGTCAAATGTATATCGCAAGAATGACTAGAACGACCGTCACTTACAAAGTGAGTCAATTAGATGAACTGACCCTTGAGAGTTCTAACCGAACACAGAAAGAACTAAGCCAAATACTAAGGCTCTAGGCCGGAACCAAATGGACGTATACACTTCAAGACTTTCGGAGAAAAATACTTAGAAGGATTCACCTGAAGAAACCGAACGCTTATAAATATTTAGCTTATTTGAATTTACATCAAGAAGTCTGAATGCCAGTCAATGACCGAACACGGTAGAGAAGAAAATTCTATTAAAGTTAGGCGAACGCTATTTTTCATCAAGATAAATTATACAAGAAACGAGTACGAGCGCTTGGTCTAAGACCGAGCACTACTCAATTCGAGAGCTTGGTGTGAGACCGAGCACTACTAAACTTATAATAGAAAGATTATTAAATATAATAAGATACTATTGGAATTATGTTTAAAATAACTAAAATATACAAATACATATATTTACAACATTTAGGTTTATCACCGAGTACTCAGATGCAATTACGCTTGGCCGAATGCTCAAGCATAGTATTACCACACGAAGACGCTCGTCCTCAACTAGGATTCTTTCCAAATGAAAGAATTCTATTTCAAACAAGTTTACTAGAAACACTGAACGGTCAAGGACCGTTCAATGACGAACGTACATTATCATAGGGAAATTTCATATTCAGAACTCATTTATCTTCAACTCATTTTTCGATACATAATTTCATAACTTTATAAATTCATATCATAATCAATTTGCGTACTTCGTACAATTCATATCATACTAATAAATCATATTCCACATAAACACTCATATCAACATTCATACTTTATATACATTCAACCACTCAGCAACATACACTCATTATCAACGAACGAGCAACGAACATACAATTAAATTAGATAAGCTTCCCTTACCTCTGAGCGTGAACGAACGTTTCCAGAGGCAGAATACAATTTCACCACTAACGGTTTCCCTAAAGTCAAAACTCGACAATTCCAACTACACAAAGTGACAACCCAACACTATCAGAACCACTCATTTTGAGAATGGTGATCAACACAGGAACCCAGAACTGGGTTTGCATGTTTAGGAAACGAACGAATGGTTGAAAAGAAAGACTTACCAGCTCAGTTTCACAAACCGAACGGTTTATCTGGAAGCTCTTGACGTCGGAAGTGCTTCTACGGTGGCTGAACGGAGATCGGAAAAGGGAAAGTGAGTGTGTTATTAGAGAGAAGATGAAGAGGATGTAGAGAGAAGGAGGAGAGAATGGGATTCTTCAGAAATTTGAAAAGAGGGTGCATGCAGAGAGTGGAGTAGATTTTCTGAAAATCCAAGTTTTGCTTCCCACGTCAAACGACGTCCCCTCATCTGTCGACACCTGCTTTCCACTAACTGATTTTCGGATCCTCTTCGCTTGACACCTGGCGTCCGTCATCTGAGTGTCAAGCCCCCCTCTTGACACGTGAACTCCACTAAAACGATACGTGCGTGGATTTTACTGGGTTTTGACATTTATTGTTTTATTATAGATTCAAATGTATTGAAATTTTTAAAGCGTCTAATTGAATAAATAGACGCATTTGTGAATGTTTAATTTTCAAAAAGGTTATCTAATAAAGCAGTGTGATTGAGAATGTTAGCATTTTTCGTGTAAAGTATGTTGAAATGTGTTTGGCATATTAAATAAATAAATTTTCTTTCCTATTTATTAGTTTGTGAGTTTGTTAAATATCTGTTTGTTCCAGCTTTTTCTATCTAAAAGGAAATGAGACAGATTTTCTAACTTTTTAAAAATTACTTTAATATTTTTCCAAGGAAAAAGGTAGTTTCTAAACGCATGGGCTAGCTTTTCTTCTGTTTTTTCTCAAGTCCTTTTTATCAAATCCTTTTCACTTTTGATTGAAAATAATTGTTTTAACTGCTTCTTACCATAGTCACAAGTCCTAAATACTTTTCATTGAAAGCCACATTGTTAATTTGTGGTTTTGTCCCTTTAATTAGGACTTAAATAAAGATAATGACGGTTTATCATATTAGACCATGCCCCAAGTAGGCATCATCTTAATATTAGAGTTCCAAAGTGGTGCTGTTTTCCATATTCAAAAATGTAAAACGTGGCTTTTAGTGTCATGTCATCTTCAAATGACTCATTTAGTTATATTCCAATAAAATAAATTTTAAGAAATTCTTAGCAACTCATTATTTTATATATTTTCACTCTCCTTTTGTTCTCTCATCTCAATAAAGAAATTTTAAAGAATTTAAAGCAACTCTAAAAATTTGGGATGTCACAAACATCCCGTTTTAATTTATAAGCGAATATAAATTTCTAATACATCTCTAAAAATTAATTACAAATATTCAAATATCCATAGTTGAAATCCATTAAACAACTAAACGTAGTTTGTATCCAAAAATTCCCAAAGGAAGAAAAATCCCCGTGTCTCTTTTTATCCTCGTCGCATTAAGCATTCACTAGACTACCTGTATCATCATTATCTGCTCTCGTATAACAATCCGAGTCATACAATCATCGCAGCACAATAAAAATGCAAGGATGAACTAACATAATAAACATCCAACCAATCGATATAACATCTATATCACAGTTGTTAAGTCTTTATCATAATTCTATCACATCCAATAATCATCAATACTAGGACTATAACCATCATCATCACACTGTTAAACCATTCTCTTAACCGGAATATGTATCATTCTCATTAGCTCTATCTCATCCATCGAGCAAAGACAACCCGTGCCTATACTAAATTCTCTTATAACATTTTCTCATCTTCTACGGATATCCAATTTTACCAAACAAAACCATTCGAGTGGTCCTTTACTGCAGCTTCGGACCTGCTCCAAGATATCCATTATGACATCGAACTCAACATGAGTCGAAACCCTACGGACGAGACATTCATCCCTTTCTACCCCTCCCGCAAGAGGAAATGTCAGCATTCGAATTTTCAGTCTCTTCTACTGCTCCTCCAGGACGAAGAGACTTATCTCTTTCACCGTCTCTCATAGACGAAGAGATTTCCATCATATATTATCATATATTATACCATACACACACTTAAGGCCCACACGAAATGATACACCTCATCCTATTTAGTGCCTCTCTCTCCCTCACGCATATCATAGAAAAATGCTGCATTCCATTCTTTCCCAGTAACATAAAACGTAACGTATAGACACTTAACAGTGCTCAACAAGAATTAAAATACAGAAACAATATTTCAAGCCAATTATTCTTCTAAAATAACATCCAAGCAGTGCAACCAATCATGATACTCCCTTGAGTCTCATACATCACACACAAAAACGAACTGGTTTTAGCTCCCCCTTACTTGGTAAATCTTGGTTCTCCTTTTGTTCTTGCGTTCAGCCTCTAGCCCACCACTCCACTTAATCTTTTTCTCTGCCACAGCCTCTCCAACTAAAAC